GGGGGGGGGATCAAAACCTGCATGGCTTTGTGTGAAAAAGTGATTGTTCCCTAAACCCAATTCCTGGTTTGGGCCACCCTTAGCAATAGCAACTGCAATCAAGTTTTTGCTATAAACTGGCAATGAGTATTTTACAGCGCTGTGGAGCGTCTTTGCAAATTTGTTGTAATTCAGCCACACTGGAGGGTTTTCAAGCATGAACCGCCTTTTTAAGGTCACGCCACAGCATCTCAATCGGATTCAGGTCACTCCAAAGTCTTCATTTTGTTTTTCTTAAGCCAGTAAGAGCTTGACTTGCTGTTTGGAATCATTGTTCTGCTGATGATGTTCTAATGTTCCTTTTGCTCAGCAGTGGTTTTCGTCTTGGAACTCTGCCATGCAGGCCATTTTTGCCCTGTATATTTCTTATGGTGGAATCATGAACATTAACTTTAACGGAGGCAAGTGAGTCCTGCAGTTCTTTGGATGTTGTTCTGGGGTCTTTTGTGACTTCTTGGTTGAGTCCTTGCTGTACTCTTGCGGTAATTTTGGTTGGCTTGCCACTCCTGGCAAAGTACACCACTGTTCCACGTTTCTGCCATATGTGGATAATGGCTCTCACTGTGATTCGCTGGAATCCCAAAGCTTAAAAAATGGCTTTGTAACCTTTTTGAGAAATTGAAACAAAAATTCCAAACATGTTATACACCATAGTTAATCTATGCTCTAATGGGGGTGGGGAGGGGGGCAATCACTTTTTCACACAGGGCCCTGTAGGTTTGGATAACTTAATCAATGAAATCATCATTTAAAAACGGCATTTTTATGATGTATGTTTAATTGTGTTATCTTTGTTTAATATTTAAATTAGTTTGAAGATTTAAAACATTTAAATGTGACAAACATACAAAAAAACTGAAAATCAGGAACACTTATTCACACCACTGTATGTGGAAAACTGGAAAAGCTGATGTGAAGATGACATTAGTTGATCTGCTGAGATTGAGATAAGTTTGTCTCCATGTTGGGTCAGGCGTGGCTAAACTAATGCTAGGCTCGATTTTGTACATGTACATATGACCACAGTGTATAAATAATGCTCTTCATGAAATTTAACAAATAGCTTTACTTGCTTTAACATTTGTCAGACAACAAAACAAAATAAATGAAAATAAAAAGATGTTTCCAGGCTGGAAATATTGCCTGGAAACATATGTAACCTAGCTCAGTGAAGCTAAGGGTAGACAGATACAGAGAAACAGGAGTAAGATGCACTGCCAGGCTCATCAACTCACTGTTATTTGCTATCATTAAAACTGATTGCTTTTCGATCTTGTAGTGATTTGTTTGTTTTTTGTTTGTTTATTTGTTTTACCAGAACTATTTTCTACCTTATCAACGCTAGCTAATTTGCTAACAAAATGGGAACCATGTCTCTAGCCTAATTTGTAAATCACTACGTGGGATTGGCCTGGCCACCTCTGGTCAGTCTCAGTCTTAAGAAGTAAACCAAAGCAGTGGTGTTAACGCTCGTGAAAAATACACAATAATTCCAAAAACAGACTTTTATTTCCCCAATTTAACAGCTAAAACCATAACTTTTTCCCAAAACTTAAATCATTGTGTACATTACTAGATAGCTTTTAATTGATTTCTGCATCTTCAGGACAATCCTCTCAGGTAATTGTCTAAGAATCTATGCTTATATCCTAGGGAATACTCTTGGCTTTCTGTGAAAACATAAAGGAACGTAAAGACAACACTGTTTCCATCACAATGTTACTTTAAAATATGGCAATTAGTGTTAAAGAGATACCAAATTGCATTGCTCCATATCAAAAGAACTAAATGCATCATAAAAGCTCTTTCTGTGTTGATAAAAACCATGGCTAGGTACTTCAATCTAGTATCCATAAGTAAAGTTTTTTTTAATGATTGTAAATGTTCAATGCTTTCTGTCTGTGAACAACAGGAGAATATGTTGTGATGACAACCCACTTCCACCTGAAGAGGAAAATTGGTTACTTTGTGATCCAGACATACCTACCCTGCATCATGACAGTTATCCTCTCCCAAGTGTCTTTCTGGCTCAACAGAGAATCTGTCCCTGCCAGGACTGTCTTTGGTGAGTTGTTGTTTTTTTCTTTTTTCTCTTCAAAACATCTTTGGCTAGAGGCCATCGTCAGAAGTTTTCAAAACTGCTCTTGAAAAGTCTGAAAGATAATCAAATGATACAGTAGGTAGTCACACAAAAGCTAGGCAACAAATCGACTAATTGCTTAAATCTATAATAACAATAATTAATATATTAAAAACAATAATAAAAAAGAATACAACAAAAACTATTTAAGGCCAACACATGACTCTTAGACACACTGATATGAAATTATTTTCAATTGCATTTTTTACAATACCTTCTTTTAATTTACACATTTATTTAATGAAGAATACTTACTATTGATGAATACTTCAAACCAATAATATATCGCTTAAGAAATGCTTTGCTTTATTTTATAAAGTAATGCCATCTGCATTGTTTATTCAAATTAACAAAACAGAAAGTCCAAAAACACACTCAACATAATATTGTTTTATTCTGCAGTACTACATCTGGCATTTTGATTTTTGCCTCAATACATGCACAGAAAAGTGTGTGAACAACATTTTTCAGATTTATAACACAAGCTTGAGTTTAAGTTGTTTCTAAAAAGCTGTTGCTTAATGATGGTTTGATTTTTTTGCTTTGTTTCGTTTTATTATTCTCTGATTTAGGAAAAAAAAGTATTTTTCCATAAAGTACTATTTCACTATTTTAGAAATATATAAATTGAAATAAATGGGGGGAGGGGGAGGGAGTCAGCCTGGCTATGCTCAATGTGTTTGTAAAAAAAGACAGCCTCTAAAATTCACAAATTAAAATGTGTGTCTCATTTGTTTGTGCATAAACAGAAATGTAAAAGAAGGCGAGCTGCAAGCTACTTTTTCGGGGGGGGGGGGGGGGCCGGATTGCCGGGAAACCTTATAGTCATGAACAACAACAACTGGCCATCTAGTAACCACAGTTTTCGAGGGAAAAATGGGTATTCTTAGACTGGTTGTGAGTTATTGCTGGAAGTTGCTAGCAGTTGCTGTGACATTACTAAAACTTCATGAGGTATACAGTGCTGCACTGAAAAGCCTCTTTGTGAATGCTTTGATAACAGTTTGCATGGCAGATGCTGACACAGCTGCAAAACAATAGCAAACTACTTGCTAAGCAATAGCGAAACTGTGAAAAATGCTACACAAACCAAAAGTCTTTTGAAATCTGTAGGTTGCAGTGGTAAGACGCAACTCTGAAATAAAATGTTCCAGCTTTCCAGTGTGTATCACACCTTTTCAAGTGGCAAGTGTTTGCGGACAAGTTGGTGTCTTTCATGCAAACTCTAGGTGACCGAATGTGGTTATAATCAAAGCAATCGAAAGGAGTTTTAGTGCATGGGTTTTTCTGACTGACTTCACCCAGTATCAGCCAGTAACCTCCCGCAATCACTCACCAGCTGGCCAGGGAATACACGTTTTCCCCTTGTGACCGGTGGTTGCCAGATGGTTGATAAATAGCCTGTAGGCTTTTTTAACTGAAGGCTAAGATGGCTATGTCAAAAACATATTTTAAAATACGTGAGATATACCAGACATTTTATTGTCTCTGTTCAGTACATCCATACTGTTCTATTCTGTTTTGTTTTTTACTAAGGCAAAAAGAGCGTTAATCACTTGTGGCAAACTGCAGTAGAATTTTAAGCTCAGTGTGAATTTAGATTTACGTGCTTAGAATGTTTGACTACAGCTACTGCGTGTTTGTGCCTGCTTGTGTACATCAGTGCATGTGAGAATGCGAGTCTACACGTGCACATTGGCCTGAGTGTGTGTGTTTGTTATGTGAATGTGTGTTTGTGTGTGTCTGATGGTGTGTATGTAGAGTGTATCTGTCTGTCACACTAAGGTCTTACATAATACAGCCCACAAGGAAAGCTCTTGCTAGTCTGCAGCATGCTCTGTAGCAGCAAAGCACAGCAGCAGGCAGAATGTCCTTGAGTTACCTCACCCTCCACACTTTCTTCTTCTTTTTTCTTTATTCTCCTTCACTCCCTCTTTCTCTCTTCATCTTCTTCTCATGAATGTCAGTGTCTCCCCTGGCCCACTACTTAAAGAGCTTTCCCGGAATCATTATACAGACACCAGATTTGCAGCTCTGCAGTCTCCAGCAGGTTTTTCTACTCTCCCTGCAATGTTTTGGAGTCCGTTTGTGTGAGCTGTGAGTTTCTTCGTGTGTGTATATGTATGTGCGTGTTTGTATGTGTGGGTGTGTGTATGTGTATGCCACAGCTTGCTACCTGAGGTGCTTGTCACGTGTTTAGGGGGGGATGAGGATGGCCTAGATTAGATTCAATCAACTATCTAGGGCGTGTGTGTGTCTGTGTGTGTGTATGTGTCCCTCAATACTGGTTGTGCTTCATGGGATTACATGTATGTAGCATGAGCATGACAGAGAGCAACACAGTGTCCCAGCACATTAGGATGACCATTCATATGATTAATATGCATCAGCAGATGAATGAGCCTGTTCTTGAAAGAGGTTAGTAATGCCAGTATCATAATTAATGAAGTATTATAAAGACAATCGATATCTTTCATTTCCATGTTAATCCTTTAACTATCATCAAAGTCAAACATTTATATGATCTTTCAGACCATTGTACACATGGTCTGCGCTATTATAATCGTAAGGTAGAATGAGTGCCACACCACAGTGGCTTTTTTATTGCTTGTGTGCAGTATATATGCTTACTGTATGCAAAAGACAACATCATTAGGAAGGTACTTGGCATCATAGAGGGATAAGACAGGCTTTGTTGTTCCAAAGTGTATAAACACTTTAAATATCACATCTGCTGCCAAAATATATGTCTAACATATTGCAAGTAACCCACATTTCCTTAAATCTTTGTCATTTTCATTCCTTTTTTCTTGTTATTTACTTATTTTATGGGCATTTTAGGTTGTTTTCATTTTCAAAGACTCTCAATAATGGTGAAAATAAAAATGCTTGATTACTATAATTACATCCATCGCTTTCCACACATACACATGGAAATGCATAATGTACATCTAGTGATATCAACCAATAATTTTATGTGATACGTTATGAGATATCACATGTGTCAGTGCTCTGGATGTTTGCTGCAGACTAGGAAAAAAGTGTTTGGGCACCTCTGTCCCTGTTTGTTGAAGGTCTCCTCCATGTATAAATTCACCTTGATATGATGTGTACAACTTTCACAGATTTGAAAGAAAACCCGTGGCACCTAAACCCAAATCTCTTGTCTTTATATACAGTAATTTAGCTTCCTTTCAGGAATGTTCCTCATTATTTAGAAGAAACTGAAATTTTATAGTAGGTCTGATATTTTTAATCTATTTCTGTTACTGAAACTTCCATTGCTGGGTTTAGTAGATCTGATGTAATATTTCAAATAAGGAACGAGTTTGATTTCATGGCAAACATGTAGTGATTTACCTTATTAGGACTACTAATAAAAACAATGAAACCATTAAAAAAACTCATCATAGTCAGTGCCTTTTTTGGGCGGGGGATTGGTCGTGTGATCAACCAAAATGATATTCAGAGCCACACTAGCTCACTATATTTAGTATTTTCAATTATACCAACTTCATGGATGGATGGACAAAAAGTATTTTTGCAAAATGTACCACATCCATGTGGGTTAATAGGAATTAAATGAGTTTAATGCCTTGTCATTCTATTTGTGTCAGACATTATAAATGTGGCTGCACGCTTCTCTGGTAAATAAGGAGATTTATGAGAAGTATTATTTGGAAGATTCCCTGTGAGAGGCAGGAAGAAGCATGACTCAAGTCCACATTAGGTCATTAATGAAATCTTTATCATAAATTCATTTTCAAAAGCAAAATAATATTTTGCAATATAGTAATGATGCAAACGAATGCACCTTTATATACTGTACATAAAAGCTCCGCAATATTGCGTAAGCACAGTGGCTCTGTCAGTCCGGCTATACCCGAATATGGCTCTGTAAACTTTATCCATGAACAGAGATCTAGGAATAAAAATAATGCTATTAATATTGAACAAATTACTAAACCATGCAAATTCTATTTAGTCATCCTGCCACAGATATTTATTTATACCTTGGTTTTTCCTCATTTTCATCTCAGAAACAGCTACTGTAGTACTGTGTTTTGTTATTGCTACAGATGTGATCAGGTTGATGCTGCCACACAGTTGTGCACAGCTGACAAAGAAACAGTATTAACAAAAACAAATTGAACATTGAAAACCCTGTTTAAATTACATTATGTCACTATGAAGCACAGCTTCTGCACTAAATCTTTTTTCCTAAAGCCTGCCCTGTAGATGAATAGGCAATTTAAAAACACAGCAGTGGGTAGAGTTATCTTATTTATCACTGTACCGATTAAGAGGCTGATTAGTTTATAGCTAGTTCAGTGTAGTGGAAAACTGTTGGCAATTTATTTATTTAGTCCAAATGAAAACCAAAAGGAAACAGCCACTGATGGCTCTGATTTGAGCTCTCTCTTACATCCCACCTCCCTCTCCCGCTCCATTTTTCTGTCTCTAAGCTGTCAGGGACAGCAGGGCTCAGAAGATAAGCTCCCTTTCTTCCATCTCTGTTTTAAGAGCGATTGGCTGGGTATTTATGGGTTTTCCCATGATGATGTTTGAGGTATCTGTTCATCAGGGAATAACACCTTGTATGCGAGTGGGTGGTGTATACTGGAGTTCGCACATGTGCGCTCATGCATTTGTGTGAAAATGTGTTTGTTTGCGACATGTGAAGAAATTGGGTACTCATCAATTTCTAATTAGTAGCTAACAACAGTGTAAGCACTATGTGTCTCCGAAGCTGCCCGTCTGTGTGTTACAAATCTCACATCTATAGTGTTGGCAGAGTTATTTAACTCACCTGCCCATCAACGTGTCCGTTTATTTCTTCATTATATGTCAGTCAGAGGTGATGTAATAATGCTGAAGGTATTGTGTGCGAGTGTAGCTTCCCAAGGGTTTCAGTTATTGATAAG